GGAGAGTGATACCTCTTACATGTCTGTCATACTGCTTTTTGCTTTTGGCTGAGGACTGTCGGCTATTATTTGCAGCTATTTGGTAAGCGACTCGCATCCTCTCGGCCCACTTTTGGACAAACGTTTGGTGGTTTTGTGCGTCAGTGTCTTTCCCTTGGTGAAAAAGTAGGTCAACTGGTAGCCGTGGAGCCCTGCCATACAAGAGAAAAAATGGAGAGTACCCTGTTGCGTCATGTCTTGTGCAATTATAGGCATGCACGATCTGCGGTAGGTGATCTTTCCATTCACTCTTCTTGTAGGGTGCGCAGCATTTGGAGAAGTGTGCGATTTAATCGCTCCACTGGATTGCACTGAGGATGATAAGGAGTGGTGCGTGAGTGTGCAATTCCTGATAGTTGTTGCAGTCTTTGGAACAGCCTGTTTTCAAACTCACGTCCTTGGTCGTGATGCAACTTCTCTGGATACCCAAAGCGAGGAATAAAGTCCTGAAATATCTTTTCAGCAGCTGTCTTTCCTGATTTGTTTCTCGTTGGGTATGCCTGCGCAAAGCGCGTGAAGTGATCAACGAGGACAAGGATATACTCATATCCTCCTTTGCTTGGCTCCAAGTGCAAATAGTCAATAGAGACCAACTCAAAAGGTGGTGGTGAGGGATCCCATTGGAGCTCTCTGCTGGATGTTGGGTTGCTTCTGTTTAATACACTGGCATTTTTTTGTCACGTATTCTTCCACATCTTGCTGCATGTACGGCCAATAGAACCGTTCTCGGGCCAGATGGATCACCTTTTCAGAACCTACATGCCCCATGTCGTCATGTAAGCTTTTCAGTACCACTGATTTGAGCTGTTCAGGGAGGACAAGTTGTCGGTTTTGGTTTGTTTTTCGGTAGAGTTTTCCATTTTCTACTTCTAACTTGTTCCACTCATAGAGCAGTCTCCTTGTCTGTTTAGACATTGGTTTTTTTTTTTCTTTTTCATTTGGAGTCCAAGCTCTCAGTTTCAAAGACATAACTTCTTTAATAGCTGGATCTGCTTGTTGTGCAGCTCTAATATCTCTGGGAATGATGCCTGAAATGCTATTGTGTGGTACAGTATTTCCATCATCACCATTTAGTTGCAATGCAGCCACCCAGGGAACATCATCGTTTTGTACCATTTTTGTCCCCTGCCACACAGCAGAGACCACCTCCGGTGACACTGTCTCTGTATGGTCACTCATCTGCTGCTGCAGGTTCACGGGATACCTGGACAACATATCGGCATCAGCGTTCCTCTTTCCTGGTCTATACTTAATATCAAAATGGAAATCCGCCAACTCCCCAACCCATCTGTGACCCACAGCATTTAGTTTTGCTGAACTCAGGATGTAGGTCAAGGGGTTATTATCGGTATAGACCGTGAAAGTTGGTGCATAATACAGGTAATCGCGGAACTTGTCGCAAATATCCCATTTAAGTGCCAAGAACTCAAGTTTGCCCAAGTGCAGATGATAGTTCCTCTCTGCAGGTGTTAAGGTCCTGGAGCCATACCCAATAACATGCAGTTTGTTGTGTTGGCGTTGGTATAATACAGCTCCCAGACCTTCATTTGAAGTGTCCGTGTGTAACACAAATGGAAGATCAAAATCTGGGTAGGCCAGGATTGGGGGGTTTGTCAACATGTCCACCAACCTGGACACCACGTTCTGATGTTCAGTAGTCCAAGTGACAGGTGAGCGAGAGGGAAGTTGCCCCTTGTTCCCTTTGGTCGCTGAACTTTTTCCCTTAACCCTTTAAGACCTACCATAGAACCAAGTCCGCCAGAGCTTATATTATATTTTTACATGCTGTGGAGCCATTTTTGGGAGCATTTCAAGTTGCTATATATCAATACAACCATTATAGCCCAAACTTTAATAATATGTCTGCATTAGGTGCATAGTAATTACTTAAATTGCAAAAAGTGCAATAAACTACAAACATAATTGAAAATCGTTTTTGTTTTTTAACATATATTTCTAGTTAGAGAAATTTAAGAGGCTTATCCCTCAAAACTGTAAATACAAAAAAGTTGCACAAACTAGTTTCCCACCACAGGAAATTTATTTTAAGTGTCTTCATAGTTTTATTTTTGAAATACACCAATTTTTATATACTGCAGGAAAAACGAAAATAAATATTATAGTGCAGATTTGCAAAATAACAGCATATGCATCAAAATAAACAATTTCCAGCAGTGCAATATGAGTCCTAAGCATCCCAGAAACGACACAGAAAGTCATGAAGTCAAACATAACTTTTAAAAACACAAGTATAAGCTCTTGAGGCCACGATGGTAAAAAAAAAACTACATTTCCGCAAAATGACGTCACTTCCGGTTTCGGGCAGGTCATGCGGTCATGTGATAGTTCGCGCTGATGGACGTAGGAAGTTTTACAAACAGCTGATCGAATCGGCGAAGCGTGTTTCTGGAATATCATGTTTTTGTTGCTGCAAGTGATTTTTATGCAGTTTTTGCAAAGCTATATGTGGAAGGAAACTGTGACCTAGGACAAGCTGATGGCATAAGATGTAAGTACAACTCCTCCAGTTTCATATGCAAAAAAAATGATTGCGCTAGCTTACGTGGTTGCAGAGCTACCGGGATTTAAAAATAGTTACGCAAAACAGAGCGTGCCCGCTCCCATCGGCTGTAAAGGGTTAACAGTCTGAGGCTTGATGGCATGACCTGTCTCAGCTGGGCTTTGGAGAATTTCAAACAAGGGCCTCGCCAGTCGTGAAAAGTCTTGGATAAAGGATCGGTAGTAGCTGAGAAATCCAAGCAATGTCCGGACCTCTCCAACTGTGCGAGGCTTCTTGTCTTTCAAGGCTAGAACTGCTTCCAAATCCTTTGGATCGATCTGAATCCCTTCTCCTGACACCACTCGCCCGATGTACCGAATTTGTCTCTTAAAGAGCTCACATTTGGCTGGGCGAAGCTTAATGCCGTGTTGTCGCATCCGGTGGAACACTTGTCTTAGATGGTCTACATGTTCGTCAAACGTTTTGGAATAGCAAAGGACATCATCCAAATACGGTATGCAACACTCGTCTCTGATGCCATCTAACACTCCCTCCATGCACCTCTGAAAGGCAGCTGGTGCATTCGTCAGTCCAAAGGGTATTCGTACCCATTCTTAGAGTCCCCAGGGTGTGCTAAAGGCAGTTAGATGTCTTGACTCCTCACTCACAAACCCTTGATGGTACGCACTCCCTTGGTCCAAGATGGAGAACCATGAATTGCCTCCTAGGCTGTCCAACAAATCCTGGATCCGTGGGAGTGGATGGCGATGTGGGACGGTTTTGCGGTTAAGCTCACGGAAGTCAACACACAGGCGAAGACTGTTGTCTTTTTTTCGCACACACACTACCGGTGAGGAATGGGGAGAAAAAGACTTCCTAATCCACCCCCTGTTTAGGAGATTTTGGATGTAATCCTTCACCTCCTTAAACAGTGGCCGTGGAATGGAATTGTAGCTTTTTTGAACTGGAGTCGTATTGATTTTGAGCTGTAAGCCAGGGACACACCCAATGTCTCCTTCTTCACGAGCAAACACGTCTGATTCCTCATAAAGCATTTGCCGTACCGTGCTCTGGTCAGGCTCCCGCAGGTGATCTAAATCCACATTTGGATGCCATCTTTCCTCCACACTGCAAGCCTGACGATTTTCCTTCCCATTACTTTGTTTTTCACTGGTCGGACTTGTTTGGGTAGCGCACAGAAGGGTGTCATTGTGTGGTTCTCCAGACCCCTGCATAGTTGGATGGATGTTTACAGGTGTGCTTTCAATAATTTCTTCAATGAATCCTAAGACTGCTTTTGGAGGTAAAAAAAAAACATCATGCCTTGTTGAATTCTGGATTGGTATTCTCACTATTTTTGAGGCACCAGCCGGCACTTCAACGAGCGCAGGAAATAACTCCAACCCATCTGGCAAGTGACAGTCTACATTCGGCTCAAACAACATGACTCCTCCTCCAGGAAAAGCTCTCATGCGGCATTTCACCTGACAGATCTGACTGCGGGGGATCGTGAGTCCCTTCTTTCCAACTCTTAATACTGGACATCCTGACTCTTCCAGGGGTTGCTTTGTGTGAACCACCGAAACAAGACTTTCAGCATTACTCTTCTGAATTCTCAGGGCTTCTGACAGGAGACTCACTAAGTTGCCATCATCTCTTTGATCACCATTCCCTGCAATCATCTCTTGTATCACATTAAAGCCTAGTAGCGGGCTGCTCAACCCTCCTCGACTTACTAGCATGGGAACATGAATAGCAACTGAGCCATGTCTGCTACTTGTGATCTCAAGACAAACTTCTAACCACCCTTCAAACGGCACATCTGTCCCATTAGCTGCAGTGACTTTGAGTGGGTGATCTGAGAGTAGGCTTTCCAGTGGCCTAATTGTCACATTTGGCAAGGCTTTTTGCACCCAAGACTTCTCCACAATGCTTACTTGGGCCCCACTATCCAACAACATTTGAAGTTTGACCCCATCTAGATAACAAGTTACCATACACCTGCCCCCAATCAGCTGGGCAACACGCTCCCTTTTGGACACTTGACATGATTTGGAGGTCTTGGTTGAAAATGGAATTTTCTCTTTGGGGTGCAGCTTCTCTGGGATTGGGGACTCTGCATTCTCCAAGGTCACTGGTGGTCCCTCCCCAGCGACCTCACCCGGTTTCCCGACAGAGTTCCCTTTTGTAAGCAGCCAATAGCTCTGTGTCCCTTTTTTCCACATCGGAAGCAGTGTGAGCAGGTGTCATTTCCTTGGGATACACATTGGTGACTGTGGCGAGAATAAGGCACGGCGGGACCACGGAGCAACATTCAGAGCCATCTTTATTTACATCTCACCACAACAATCCCCAAACCCCTGAGTCCCCGTGTTTTTAACTAGGCGGGTGTGATTAAGGATGCCGTGCAGGTGCATCCGCCCTCCCTGCACGGCACCGCAGACCACGCCCCACCACATACCCCCATCGCCCGATTGAGGCCGGGGAACCATCCGGCCGAACCTACTCCCCCACCGCCAGTGGGAAAGGGAATCAGCCCGGACAGCCGGCGCCCCGGCCAAGCGACGGGGAGGTGCGAGTTCAGGTGGCCGCCGCGAATCCAGCGGCGCAGGCCAAGCTGGTACGGAAGTCGGACGCGTGGCAGGTGCACCCGGCACAGTCGTGAGCCCCAGCTCACAGGTGGCTGGGCAGAGGTGTGGTGTGTACTGGCCTCTGGTGGTGATGAGGTCGGTCTGGTGAGCACAGCGATCTCAAGCGTGGCGCACGCCTCGCTCGCCAGTTCCACTCGAGCAGGCTCCCCTGGCACGGGGACCTCCAGCTCCTTGCGCGGCCCCTCCATCACCGCCGTCGCTCCCCGCTGGAGCAGCCCATTGCGCGACTCCTCCGTCACTACTACCCCTCCGCCGCCACTCCCGGCTCGCGCAGCCCCTCGCACAGCTCTTCCTCCGCCGCTGCTGCTCCTGCTGCTGCTTCCGGCTCGAGCAGCCCCTCCCGCGGCTCCTCTTCCTCCAGCCGGCACAGACCCTCGCGCGCCTCGTCTGCCGCCTCCGGTTGGAGCGGCTCCTCCACCGCTCCCGGCAGGAGCAGCCCTTCACCCGGCTGTTCCCCATCCTCCGGCAGGCGCAGATCCCCGCGCGCCTCGTCTGCCACCTCCGGCTGCTGAGGTGCCTCACGCGGCTCCTCCACCGCTTCACTGTCCTTGGGACACACCTGTGGGGGTGGCGCCCAGGCCCAGAGCAGCGCCGCCAGCTCCCCAATCCTTTCCAGGTGGCGCTCGGACTGGTCCTGCAGCTCTTCCTGCTGGCGACGCACCTCTGCTGCCTGCTCCCACTGGGCGGCCGCCATTTCGGCCACCCTCTGGGCCAGCTCCTCCATTCCCTGGCTCCGATACGGACCCGCCGTGCTGCCTCCTGGGTTTCGGCACCAATGTGGCGAGAATAAGGCACGGCGGGACCACGGAGCAACATTCAGAGCCATCTTTATTTACATCTCACCACAACAATCCCCAAACCCCTGAGTCCCCGTGTTTTTAACTAGGCGGGTGTGATTAAGGATGCCGTGCAGGTGCGTCCGCCCTCCCTGCACGGCACCGCAGACCACGCCCCACCACAGTGACATTTCCCTATAACTTCAGGCTTGGCTGACTGTTTTATGTGTGGCAAAGGGTTGTAGGTGTTTTCTGTTGCCACATTCACTACCGGTGTGATGGCTTTCTCCAAACTTTTGGCCAAAGAGGACACTTGGGCTGTTAACTCATGTATAGCACTGCGATTGGCCTGCACCTCTGCCTGTACTTGAATGGCATTCTGTTTGTCACTGTCCAGCTGGGCTGTATTGATACTGATTGCTTTTTGTTTGCATACCTGTCCCAACCTGGTTTTCCTCTCAGTGTCCTCCCTCAGTGATCTTGTGATCACGTCGAGTATAAAGTCATCAGTCACATTCATGTCTGAAATATGTGGTTGAAGATCTCGTCTGATGTGTGAGCATTTTTCGTTCATCCCCTGGTAAAGCGAATGAGGAAACACTCCCTGCACCAGTTTGCTATCATATCGGAAGTCTGTACCTTGTTTAGAAGCAAACATTATACGCTGCTTGACCCCCATTAGTCTATACATAAACTGTTGTGGGCTTTCTTTGTCATGTTGCTTTGCGTTACACCGTTCTTAAGACCTCAGCTTCTGAGAACCCCTCAGCCAGACCTTCATCAATTTGTTTATATAGACAGTTAAAACTCAAATCAGAAGCTGAGTCTGAGATTTGACCACCATGTATCTTAAATTCTCTATGTGGTAACAATGCAGCAACATCTGTCAGTTTTACTAAACCAGTTACAGGATCAGCAATCACTGATGTTGGGATACTCTTTTTCACTACTGATGCTACTACTGCTGGTTCAGTCTCTGATACAGAAACAGCATCCCCTTCATCAGATGCTTGACCAAAAGCAGTTACCTGGGGTGCTTGCAGGTCATCAATGAGGTCACGAAATGCAAGCAGACGAGACATGCCCTGATCTTCGAGGCTCTTCAGTCGTTTACTTCTCAGAAAGTCAACAATAAAGTCAAAGAGCTCCACCTCAGTTGCATCCTCACCGGGAACATCTTCCACCTCTTCTTCTTGACACAATACTGCAAGTTTATGTAGCAGGTCCCTGTTAGCGGCTCTGGTCAGCTGATGAAGCTGGTTCTGGATCTCCCACTGTAGGTCGTGCAGAGTGGCCATGTCTGGATACCTGATGTCAATCGTTACTAATGCTGTGCATCAGAGGGATATGGATCCCGCAATTCTTGGCTGATTAGCACCTGACCGCCATGGCGCTAATCCCGGACGAGCCCCCAGAATTGTTGCCTCCCTAAGATGATGACCAGAGGGGCAACTAGTTTCCTGTTCAACAACGTGTGGCGCTGTGATAAAGAATAGGAAAAGGGACACACGTTGAGCTGATGTCAGTTTCACAACAGGAAGGTTTATTCTTCACAACAGCTTAGAACAGCTTCAGGTATCACCATACTAACTGCAAAGAAATGGCCTTATGTTTCAGTCCAGTTCACCATACATGGCCACAGTTCCCTGAGCTAGAGACTGTATAAATCTCTCAATACAACTTTGACAAAACATAAACAAAATATTGCTTAAATCCATTGATAATATCAGATCCACAATGTATCACAATAAACACATTTGTTTTACAAAGATAAACAAAACACAATAGTGTACTCTGTACTTCATTTTTAACTACATTTACAAACATCATAAAATTAACTCATTTTAATTCTTGTTCAGCACTAAATAATTTATGTGAAATGTATTTCCACTGTACTGACAATGTAACTTCTGTTTTTTTAAATATAGCTATTTTACTCTTTACAAGAAAATTATGTCTTTGACATAAAACAAACATATTCACTGTTCTTATACAATCTACAACTATCTAGAGTGCAATGCTCCTTTAACAGCGTTCACTCCTACTGTGCAGTCAGCAGTGATCAAACAGTTTCCTTATAACACTTTATAAATGTCTTTGTATTAAACCACAAACTTGTTCTTGTAACCACAAGATCAACCAGAAGAATAAAACATAGTATGAATCCCATTTATCAGAGTGCATAATACATTAAGAGTTCACAGTCCAGAAGTCTCTCACAAGTCAGATTAGCTTCCCCACACACACTCAGTATTCCACATTAGCCAAGTCCGCTAGCATTAGCATCATTTAGCCTGTAGTAGTGATGGCCCGCTTGAAGCTGATGCTCCGGAGCGTGTGTCGAAAAAAACAACACACTGGTTTAGAAGCACTGTGTCGAGGCTTGCTTCATTTGGCAAAAGTCACGTGACCAGTGACGTCCGAAGCTTCATTACGCACGTAACTGCTTCGGTACCTGATTCAAACGGATATAAGGAATTGAATCATCCACGGGATTCGTGGAGTGTGCTGATGGTGACAGAGAGCGAAGAGGTGATCATTCCACTGACAGATATGGAGCCAGCGAGGAAGAGAGGACGTTCTGGCGTGTGGGAATATTTTGAGTTGATTTTGCTCAATTCATTTTATCTGCCGAAGTGAAAAACTTGAAATGTCCAAAATCATGTTTTCATAATGTAAATATCATTACAGCATATGACTTTAGGAACACTTCCATGTGAATTAAAGCTAATGAAGACTACAAAAATGTATTTGACACTATACGTACATTACATTGCTACACAGTTTAGAAAATCATTTTGTTTATTGTTTTTAGGTGATAGTCTGCAGGACCCAGGAATACCTGCATATCTACCAGCTTGCAGTGTGGTTCCTGCACTCCACAGCCTCTTCTGTTCCATGCAAGCGGATTTTCTCCAGGGCAGGAGAAACTATTTCTAAGAAAAGAAACAGACTCAGCCAGCGCACAGTAACACTAATCCTCTTTTTAAATGTAAATAACAAAAGGGCTAGCTTACATAGATCATGTTTTTACTTTGCAAGTTCTTGATTAGGGGTGGGTTTTGATTATCGCTTTTCTGATTACAATCCATGCTAAATTGAATAAAGTGATATTGATTCATTAAAATCCCGTGTCGATTTGTAAATTAACGTTATTATGCCTGAAACGCCAGCATCTCAGGTTAAACCTCACAACATGTCGTTAAACACCATACAGCTAAAACAGTAACTGGGAGCAGGTTTACGGATTCTGCATAAAAACGTAAACACAGAGCGCGGACCCGACGCGTCAGAGTCAGATTTTGATGTGTCGTCCGGTCCGCGCTGTGTTTGCCTCTTTTTTTTTCGTTGGCTTCTGCAGCTGCAGGTTTCATAACTCTCTGTTTACATCTCTAATTAAGTCTCACATGTGTCAGCTTTCTTTTAATAGATACGAAATTATGGATATATACTGTTAAATGACCAGAATTGTAATATTTCTGACTGAGGCAAAACTTTCCAGATTCCAATCAAATTGAATCGGATCCTGTATCGAATCAAAATGATTCTACAAATCAGTGACGATGCAGCCATACTCAGCTTCCTAAGCATTTTCACTTTCCAGTTCACAATCAATCCCACCCCTAGGTCAAAAATATGTATAGGACAATTGGCCTAATCTAATATTTTGTATGAACCTGTCTAGCTGTCCAGTGATTAAATGACAAGTAGATGGAGGCAGGACTTCACAGCAGGGGCATACTCCATAATGTGCTGTGCATTCTCATATGTATATTATATATATTGCTCACTTATTGTATTTACCAACATCAAGGAGTTTTGAGCAAAGAAAGGCCACACCATAGTGCATGTTTAAATAGGGAAAGTTTATTGATCAAAATGTATTACGCAAATACGCATTACATTTTTTTCAGCCCCCCAATCGAGAAAACAAAACCAATTACATGTTCAAAGCAACGGAACGGTGGCCCAATATCAGAGAGAACTCCACTCTTGAGTGAGCAGTGATGATTGAGCAGTCCGTTTTATTTTGCAGATTCAAGCTGCTCTTCTAAATATTCGCCACCAGATGTCACCGGAGAGGACTGTGTTGAAAAGCTTCAAGTAATGAACCATTTTTCAATACAAGCTTCAGTGCTTCGGAAAGCTTCATTTGGCCATCACTAGCCTGCAGCCTTAACCCACAATTCAGACACAACTCAGAATGAATCCCTTTCTTTAGCGAGTTGCGCTCATTACCCACATAAACAACATCGTCCGGTTGTAAGGTCTGCAGTATACATTCTCTTAAATGCATTTACTAACCTGTGATAAAGAATAGGAAAAGGGACACACGTTGAGCTGATGTCAGTTTCACAACAGGAAGGTTTATTCTTCCTCTGTGCCCCAAAACGCTACTCGATACCACTGCG